CCAACCCTCCCCCCCCCAAAAAAAGCCCCGGTTATTGTAGAGACCAGGCTCCAGATACACGGTGGTCGCTGTATCAGCCAGCCATTGGTTGTCTTGCTACAGTTGTTCCATTTGTTAGACCGCCTCCCAGTCCATCCTCTCATCAATTCTCCCAGTGCACCCCCTATCAAAAAAAATGTCTCCACACCCTTTTGAGAACTTGATTGATAAAAAAAAAAAAAAAAAAAAAAAAAAAAAAAAAAAAAATAAATAAAAAAAAAAAAAAAAAAAAAAAAAAAAAAAAAAAAAAAAAAAAAAAAAAAAGAGAACTTGATTGATAAAACATGACATGGTCGAGTTGTTGTAGGTCAAGTGAAAACTTTTAAGGAGGATTTGGGAACACAAGCTGAAAGGAAAAAAGAACGGGCAACTTCAGTAGAGTGACAAAAAACGAGTTGTAATTGCACTGTGGGGCAAGATACAGTTTGGAATAATTATTGCACTTCGGGCACCCTACACCTGGCCAGAAAGTTGGGTTGTATGCATTGCCCCAAGAACTGCAATTCGAAACTATATCCTGGCCCAAAATGCAATTATAACTCATTTCTGTGACTCCCGCATAGTTTCCCCCAAGAAAGAAGGAAATTTGGGGCCTCGCCGCACGAATGTCGAAAACTGCATTTTTTCGACATTTTCTCCTCGCCACACAGCATGTCTAAATCTGAGATGGAAAAAATTCAGGAGCTGTCAGAGAAAGCTTTTCGACACCTCCTCTCTCTCGAGCAGGGCTCGTTTCCACTTCAGGCCTGCAACTTGGACATTTTTAAGTCCTCAGATGGGATGTCCAGTTCTTGCCCGGATCTGGAAAAGGAGAACGGACCAACGCTTGTCCAATGTCCTATCTTCACCCCAGTTTCTCTCTTTTGTGCATAGGACTTACGACTTCTCCACTTCGACATGATGTGTGGCGAAGAGGGTTTTTTCTGTCGAAAGAGGGAATATCGAGAATTTCCTGACTTATGTCGAATGTCGTGATGTTTCTACATTGGTGTGGCGAGGCCCTTAAACCATCAGTACTTCCGGAAGTCCGGACTTGTGCACTGCCTGCCATTGCTACATTGCGGCCACGTTTCCACTTGAATGGATTTTAACCAGCACCCCAGTCCTATTCATCCCAGCACTTGCACTTCAGAGCTTGCAGACTGCTACGACTTTTGGAAGTTACTGTACTGGTGGTTTAAAAAGAACAAGAAGGTAAGCAAGGAAGTAATGACGGTGTACAGAAGGCTGCATACCCAAAAAAAAAAGAAAAGGCTGCATAGTTCCCCCTTCAATTATCCTTACAACTTACAAGGTTAATTTAACATTAAATTTACAATGATCGAGTCTTCGAACCAAAAACGTTTTGTTCTCTACCACGCTCAGGCTCAGGCTTTGCCCGCCGTGCCCGGCTGCAGACTTGGGCATCTGGGGCCTGCTTGATAGTAAGGTCGATAATATAGAAGGGGACTCGGAAATAAACTGTCACAAAAACTTAGTGCCTATCTGCATGTTCCTTGGGCCATGGCCGTTGGTTGGATAGTAACTGTCATATGTGTATTAAAATTAATAATAAACACTGGATACAGGACCAGGTGCGGCTCCCAAATGTTCTTATGAAAAAGGCAAACTTACGCTGGGCTCACACAAGTCCTATAATACTATTGATGATTGATCTTATGCTTCTTCAAATCATTGTCAGTCACTGAAAACGTGGACTTACACTGTGCTTGCACAAATGCTAATCTAGGGAGTTAACAATTGAACACCATGTTATAGAAATACATATTAATATAATGCTGTTTTATTATATAAAAGTTAATAATCAAACCCTTCACATTGTTAAACAAGGCATCCCCACCAATAAGATACTACTAGGAGCCATCCGACATTGGAATCTGATGCTTGTATCACCCCCTGAAGCATCACAGATGGACTGAACCCTCCCCCCCCCAGCCACCACCACCACCACCACCAAAAAACAAAAAAAACAAAGTCCATACTTACTCACCCTCTACAAGATGCATCGCCTTGGTCTAATAGACTTAAAGCACCAGTACATGCAAGCTATCGGCCGGAGGCCCCATCGGGAGGCCGCCCGCTGCCGATTCATTTATCTACGGAGCTCGGCCTCCTAAATCTTAGGAGAGGCTCAAAACAGCTTCTCCAGTTGCTTGGGGCCATCTAGGAGTGGCTGAAATTAGAAAAGCTTGGCTTTACATAGTTAGGTGCTCAATATTAAACCCATGTAGACATGTTGTTATTTGTGTTTATCGTAGTTATGATTAGACAGACAAGAGTTCTAATCTTCTCGGCCACATCCGGCATTGAATAACCAGCATGTAATATCTAATATATAGTACAGACGCTGTTCACTGTGTTCGATCTCCCTCCCCATCATTCTCTAAAGCCCACCACTGCAGTAGTCCCAAGCCAAGGTCCCATACCTCAACCCCCACTGCAGTAGTCCCAAGCCAAGGTGGCATACCTCACCCCCCCCACCGCAGTAGTCCCAAGCCAAGGTGCCATACCTCACCCCAGTGACCCACTGCAGTAGTCCCAAGCCGCCGTACCTCGCCCCGCATTGCAGTAGTCCCAAGCCAAGGTGCCATACCTCACCCCACTGCAGCAGTCCCAAGCCAAGGTGCCATACCTCAACCCCCCCCCATCGCAGTAGTCCCAAGCCAAGGTGTCATACCTCAACCCCCCACCGCCGTAGTCCCAAGCGAAGGTGCCATACCTCACCGCACTACAGTCCCAGGCCAAGGTGCCACACCTCAGCAGTCCCAAGCCAAGGTCCCATACCTCAACCCCCACTGCAGTAGTCCCAAACCAAGGTGCCATACCACAACCCCCACTCATCTTGTCCCACCAATTATCTAGTAGGACGTTTTACTCGGTGTACTAGCTCGAAACATGGAACATACCGCTAATCAAAATTAAATACAGATATTAAGTTACCTTCTCCATCGTCCTCTTCTTCATGAATCTATCTCGCACAAATCAGTTGAAGTCACTGTTTGCTTGTGCATTCTTCCATGATCTTCTTTTCCATATCTATAGACTATAGTCAATGTGAAAAAAAGTTACACTTTCAATAATTGCTATTGACGCCGGGCGCACATATCTATAGACTATAGTCAATGTGAAAAAAAAGTTACACTTTCAATTGCTAATAACGATGATTATGTTAATAAAAGGCGTACTAAATAGTAAATAGCGCAGGCCCTAGTACGCAAAAAAAAAAAAAAAAAAAAAAAAAAAAAAAAAAA